CTTCAACATCCCATTCTCACCATTGGATAAGTCTGCTAGACAGAAACTTAACAGAGAAATAAGGGAACTAACAGATATTATGACTTAAATGGACTTAACAGACATCTATAGAACATTTCACCCAAACACAAAAAAATATACCTTCTTCTCAGCACCTCATGGAACCTTCTCTAAAACTGACCACATACTCAGTCACAAAGCAAATCTCAACAGATAAAAAAAAATAAAAAACTGGAATAACCCCCCTGTATCTTATGGGATCACCATGGCTTAAAATTAGAATTCAACAACACCACAAATTACAGAAAGCCTACAAACTTATGGAAACTGAACAATGCCCAACTGAATCACCACTGGGTCAAGGAAGAAATGAAGAAAGAAATTAAAGACTTCCTAGAATTCAATGAAAATGAATGCACAACATACCCAAACTTATGGGACACTATGAAAGCAGTGCTAAGAGGAAAGTTCATAGCACTAAGTGCACACATAAAAAATTTGGAGAAATCTCACACTACTAACTTAACAGCACACCTGAAAGCTCTAGGATAAAAAGAAGCAAACTCACCCAGGAGGAGTAGTCGACAGGAAATAAACTGAGAGCTGAAACCGATCAAATAGAAACAAAGAGACCAATACAAAAAAAAATGAAACAAAGAGTTGGTTCTTTGAGAAAATCAACAAGATAGACAAATCCTTATCCAAACTAAACAAAAGGCAGAGATAATATCCAAATCAACAAAATCAGAAATGAAAAGGAGGACATAACAACAGACACCGAGGAAATCCAGATAATCATTAGGTCATACTTCAAAAACCTGTACTCCACAAAATTGGAAAATCTAAAACAAATGGACAATTTTCTGAATAGGTACCACATACCAAAATTAAATTAAGACCAGATAAACAATTTAAATAGACCTATAACCTCTAAGGAAATAGAAACAGTCATTAAAAGTCTCCCAATCAAAAAAAGCTCAGGGCCAGATGGTTTCATGGCAGAATTCTGCCAGAATTTCAAAGAGCTAGTTCCAATACTCTTCAAATTGTTCCACACAATAGAAACAGAAGGAACATTATCAAACTCTTTTTATGAGGCTACAGTTACCCTGATACCCAAACCACACAAAGATGCAACAAAGAAAGAGAATTACAGACCAATCTCCCTCATGAGCATTAATGCAAAAATGCTCAATAAAATACTGGCAAACTAAATCCAAAAAAAATCCACCATGATCAAGTAGGCTTCATCCCAGAGATGCAGGGATGGTTCAACATACGAAAATCTGTCAATGTAATTCAGCATATAAACAAACTGAAAGGAAAAAAAATGATCATCTCATTAGATGCTGAAAAAGCCTTTGACAAAATCCAACACCCCTTCATGATAAAGGTCTTGGAGAGTTCAGGAATACAAGAACATATCTAAACATAATAAAAGCAATATACAGCAAGCCAAGGACAGTCAGCATCAAATTAAATGGAGAGAAACTCAAAGTGATTCCACTAAAATCAGGAACAAGACAAGTCTGTCCTCTCTTTCCATATCTATTCAATATAATACTCAAAGTTCTAGCTAGAGCAATAAGGCAACAAAAGGAGATCAAGGGGATAGGCCATAAACACCTTCAATTAATGTGGCAGGATACAAGATTAACTAATATATATATATATATATATATATATATATATATATATATATATATATATTTCAGCAGTCCTCCTATATACAAATGATAAACGGGCTGAGAAAGAAATCAGAGAAACAACACCCTTTACAATAGCCACAAATATAAAATATCTTGGGGTAACTCTAACCAAACAAGTGGAAGACTTGTATGACAAGAACTTTAAGTCTCTGAAGAAAGAAATTGAAGAAGATAGCAGAAAACGGTAAGATCTGCCATGCTCATGGATAGGCAGGATTAACATAGTAAAAATGGCAATCTTACCAAAAGCAATCTACAAATTCAATGCAATCCCCATCAAAATCCCAACACAATTCTTCACAGACCTTGAAAGAACAATACTCAACTTCATATGGAAAGACAAAAAAACCAGGATAGCTAAAAGAATCCTTTCCAATAAAGCAACTTCTGGAGGCATCACCATCCCTAACTTCAAGCTCTACTATAGAGCTATAGTAATAAAAACAGCTTGGTACTGGCATAAAAACCAACATACGGATCAATGGAATCCAATTGAAGACCCTGACATTAATCCACACACACATGAACACCTGATTTTTTAAAAATAAGCCAAAATAATACAATGGAAAAAAGAAAGCATCTTCAACAAATGGTGCTGGCATAACTGGATGTTGACATGTAGAAGAATGCAAATAGATCCATATCTATTGCCATGCACAAAACTCAAGTCCAAGTGGATCAAAAATCTCAACATAAATCTAGCTACACTGAACCTGATAGAAGAGAAAGTGGGAAGTAGCCTTGAATTCATTGGCACAGGAGACTACTTCTTGAATATAATGCCAGTAGCACAGACACTGAGATCCACAATTAATAAATGGGACTTCCTGAAACTGAAAAGCTTCTGTAAGGCAAAGGTCATGGTCAACAAGACAAAACAGCAGCTTACAGAATGGGAAAAGATCTTCACCAACCCCATATCTGACAGAGGGTTGGTCTCCAAAATATATAAAGAATTCGAGAAACTAGACACCAAAAAACCAAATAATCCAATTTTTAAAAAATGGGGTACAGATCTAAACAGAGAATTCTCAACAGAAGAATTTCAAATGGCTGAAAGACATTTAAGGAGTTGCTCAACATCTTTAGCCATGAGGGAAATGCAAATCAAAACAACTCTGAGATACCATCTTATACCTGTCAGAAGGGCTAAGATAAAAAACACCAATGACAGCTTATGTTAGAGAGGATGTGGAGTAAGGGGAATGTAGTTGAAGTTTTACTGTGTCTACCCGGCTCCTGCAACCGCTCAGACCCAAGTAAACACACAGAGACTTATATTACTTATAAACTGTATGGCAGTGGCAGGCTTCTTGTTATCTAGTTCTTATATCTTAAATTAACCCATTTCTATTAATCTATAAGTTGCCATGTGGCTTGTGGCTTAAAGGTACTTTACATCTTGCATCTCATGGCAGTGGCAGTTGGTAGCATCTCCTGACTTAGCCTTCCCTTCCCAGAATTCTTCTCTCTCTTTATCCCGCCTATACTATACTTCCTGCCTGGCTACTGGCCAATGACCATTTTATTTATCAGTCAATCAGAGCAACATGTTCACAGCATACAGAAAGACATCCCCAGCAGGGGAATACTCCTCCACTGCTAGTGGGAATGCAATCTTGTACAGACACTTTGGAAACCAGTATGGCAGTTTCTCAGAAAATTGGGAACTAATCTACCTCAAAACCTAGCAACACCACTCTTGGGCATATACCCAAAAGATGCTCAACCATACCACATGGACACTTGCTCAACTATGTTCATAGCAGCATTTTTCATAATGGCTAGAACCTGGAAACAACCTAGTTGCCCTTCAACCAAAGATGGATAAAGAAAATATGGTATATTTGCACAATGGAGTATTGCTCAGCTGTAAAATAACAATGACTTCATGAAATTTGTAGGCAAATACATGGAACTAGAAAAAAAGTCATCCTGAGTGAGCTAACCCAGACTCAGACCCAGAAAGACAAACATGGTAGGTACTCACTCATAAGTGGATAGTAGATGTAAAGCAAAGGATAACTAGTCCACAATCCACAGCCCCAGAGAAGCTAGGTACCAAGGAGGACTCTAAGAATGATACATGGTTCTCCCTGGGAAGGGAAAATAGAAGAGATCTCCTGGGTAAACTGGGGGCAAGGGGAGGAGGTAGAGGGGAGATGATGGGGGATGGGAACATGAGGGATCGGAATGGTCAAATTGGGAGAGGGGAGGAAAGGGAGAGCAATGAAAGATATGTCTTGATAGAGGGGGCCTTTGTGGGGTTAGGGAGAAACCTGGTGTCAGGGAAACTCCCAGGAATCCACAAGGATGACCCCAAGTAAGACTCCTAGCAATCGTGGAAAGGGTGCCTGAACTGGCCTTCCTTTGTAATCAGAGTGGTGACTACTCTAACTGTCGTCATAGAGCATTCATCCGGTAACTGATGGAGGCAGATCTACAGCCAAGCACCTGGACAAGCTCAGAGAGACCAGTCGAAGGGAGGGAGGAGGGATTATATGAGTGAGGGGAGTTGGGATCATAATGGGGAAACTCACTAAGTCGACTGACCTGAGCTTGTGGGAGCTCAGGGACTCTGGGCTGACAGCTGTGGAGCCTACATGGGACCAACCTAGGCCCTCTGCAAGTGGGTGACAGTTGTGTGGCTTGGTCTGTTTGTGGGGCCCTTAGCAGTGGGACCAAGATCTGTCCTTGGTGCACGGGCTGGCTATTTGAAGCCTATTCCCTTGCTAGGCCTTGATGCAGGGGGGAGGAGCTTGATACTGCTTCAGATTGATATGCCATGCTTTGTTGACTCCCGTGGGAGGCCTTGCCCTTTCTGGGGAGTGGATGGGGGATGATGGAGGGGAGGTAGGGGGAGAGAAAGGGAGGAGGGGAGAGAGAGGAAACTGTGGTTGGATAAATAGAATAAATAAGATAAATAGAAAGATTTGATAAAAGAAAAAAGAAAACAAACAGGGTTCTAAGGGATAATAATATAATTAATATAGTACAATATGATAAAACAAAACTAATACATTGGCATTGAACAAAACAAACAGAAGAAAAAGAACCCAAGAGAAGGCACAAGAAACAGAGTCCCTCTCATTTGTACATTCAGGAATCCCACAAAAACACTAAGCTGGAAGCCATAATATATATACAAAGGACCTGGTGCAGACCCATGCAGGCTCTGTGCATATCCTTCATATGAGCTTGAGCTTTGATCATGCCGAATTAGAGGGTATTGCTTCCTTGGTGTCCTCCATCCCTCTGGCTCTTACATTCTTTCTGCCTCTTCTTCTGCAGGGTTCCCTGAGCCCTGAGGGGAGGAATTTGATGGAAACATCCTGTTTAGAGCCAAGTGTCCCAAGGTCCAAAAGAGACATTTTAAAAGGGACATCAAGATGACCAACATGAGGTACAAGCACGTTGAAGTCACTGTAGATACCACTTCATGCCCTAGGATGGCTACTGTCAAAAAGGTGGGGGTGCTGACAAGTGCTGGGGGGAATCATGGAGAAAAGAGAAGTTCTCACATGCTGGTTGGAGTCTAAGTTAGTGCAGCAACTTGGAAGATAGTGTAATGGATCCTTGCTTCTGTCTGACTCAGCTATCCCACCAGAACAGACATGAAACACATTGAGAGCAGCACAGGGCAGCATGGTTCACACTATGGATGCAGACACACCTGTGGTACCTAGACACAGTGGAATGTTATTCAAACTCTGAAGGGAATGGGATTCAGTCACTCATAACAAGAAGGGCGAGTCTACAGGAAGCCAGAAACCACGGGATCTTGCTAATGTGGCATTTAAAACATTAACTTCGGAGTCAGGGCTACAGTTCAGGGGGTAATGCTTGCTGGGCAAGCATGAGGACCAGAGTCTGGATCTCCAGCACCCGTATAAAAGCCGGCTGTTGTGCTGTAGCTGTTACCCCAGTGCTGGGGGTTCGGGACAGGTGGATCCTGGGGGTTCACTGACCAGCTGGCGTATCAGAAATGGCAACCTTTAGGTTAAATGAGCGATCTTGTATCAAAAATAAGGTGACAGGGATAAAGGAAGCTACCAGGAATCATCTGATTTCCACACGGGAGCATACTCATACAAACATACAACACATACACAGGCACACACACAACACACACACATACACACACACACATACATACACATACACACACACACACACGCAACACGCACACATACACACAATACATTCACATACAAAACACAAACACATACATATGGCACACACACAACACACACATTAAATAGATAGATACACAAATAAATAAGTACACATTAAACTCTTAGAAGTAGCAAATAGAATGATGTTGCCAGGGCTGCAGGGAACACAGAGGCAAGGAATGGAATGATGTGGGTCCAGGGTACCCAGCTTTGGCTGGACAATGGGACAGGGTTCTAGAGAGCCACAGCACGTGAGAACAGTAATATTTCTAAATTACTACATGAATAGCGTTTCAATGTTCTCGCTCTTAAAGAGGAAGTGTGTGAGGAAGTGTGTGAGGTGATGGCTATGTTGGTTTTGTCACTTAAGCACTTAGATACTAAGACGACATTATATTCCATAAACGCATTTGATATTTGTCAATTAAAAGAGAGTTAACTAAACTCGTTAGAGTGCTGGGGCGGGCACAGGCAAAACGGCTTTGTTCTGGTGTATCACTTGTTTTCCTGATCTGCAGTGTTTAGTTTCTCTGCAAGGAACATAGATAGCACTTGGCTCTGTCTTGTGGAGAACAGTCATAGATGCCAGCTTCCCTGATCCCTACTCTGCCTGTTCCAGAGTGACGAGCTGCCGGGACCCCTTCACCATGTGCTTGGGTAAGACTCTCTGAATGGAAGTTACTCTCATCCAAGTGAAGCCAAGCCATCTCCACTCCACCCCTCTGATGCCCTATCAGAGTTCTCTTCACTCCGTGGTCCAGGGATTCCCAAGTACATCAAGATAAACCTCCTACCCCACCACACCCTGCCAGGTCCAGGGTGTCCTCAATCCTGCTCCTGCTCACCCACCAGGTTTGGATCATGGCTCTCACTGCAGAGCCAGCAGCCCATTGGCCACTGGAAACCGAGTACTTGCCAGACTTAAGCCAGCTCTGGGCAGTAAACACTGGAGGTGAAAGAGGCTCTGGTCTCAAGGGTCCTTGGTCTCTACTTCTCTTTGCCGCTCCAAGTGGCCATTGAGGAATCTGGCCACCAAGAGTGGGAACTCCCAAGCTGGCAGGACACACCGTCCAGGGGACCCTGGGCTCTCCAGTATGGTACACAGGACTCTTGCTTCACTGTTGGGTAATGTGCTGTGGTTATTACCAGTATTTTGCAAGAAGTGATGTTTATGCGATATTTTACCACTGGCAATTTGCTCGTGGTTTTCAGTTGGTGCCAAACCAGTCTCCAAAGACTGGAGTTCTGGAAACACACAGGGGGCATGCGGAGCTGAGCCGGCTACCTTCAGAGCTCAGACTTGAGGCAGAACTCGCAATTCACACTGCCTCCTAGGGCACCACTCAAGGGTCAAAGCCATGTGCAGCAGAGCTCTGGTGCCTCCATCATAACCAGTCAGGCTCTCCACTTTGTCCTCCAGCCCAGGGTCAGACTGTTTGGCTATTGTCACACCTCCCACTCAACATCCTAATCCCAGGGAACTAAGCTAGTTTGCAGAGGCAAACCCAAAGCAGGGGACCTTCTCTACTGGGCCAGATCTTTGCTCACTACCTACCTCTCCTCTAGGTGCCCCTATTAGCAGTTATCTTCAGGCTGGCACCTACGAATCCATCCAGGCACTGGCAGTCTGCCCTAGGTTCTTCCCCTGATAGCCCAAGTCCCCATTGGTTTGATTCCTCTTCTTGAAATTATATCTATTGCCATTGCTTCATCCCCAGGACTAAGTTCTTCTGCCTCCACATGGGCCATGGCAAAAGTCCCTGCCTGGATTATTTTGGGTGCTCTTCATCCATCCTCTTCCTTATACTCAGAGTCATACCCCAATAGTGTCCAGAGTGGATGCCTTGCCAAGAAGCCCAGAACATGTTACAAGCCTCCATGGGCCTCTCAGCCTTTTCTCTTATGAATATACCTCCCCTGACCCCAACACCTAGGCAGCCCCTTGGGCCTTTGGTGATGCCCTCTAGATCCTTGTGCCCAGCAAGCTTTCCAGTCCATCTATGCCCAGGCTTTGCTATATTCACTGGAGTAGCTGGCACAGTTGTGGGTCCCCAGCAAATGCTGAGTCCCCTTGGCCAGTAAGTGACCACTTCCATTTCATAATGATCACTGTGATGGTTTAAATCAGAAATATCCCTCATAGGCTCAGGCATTCAAACCCTTGGATCCTGGTTAGTAGTGCTGTTTGGGGAGGTTTAGGTAGTGCAGCCTTGTGGAGGAGGTACATCACTAGGGGTGGGTTTTGAGAATGCATAGCCTAGCCCTATTACCAGTTCATTCTGTTTCATGCTTGTTAAATATGTGATCTCTAAGCTTTCTGTACTGGCTGTCTGCTGTCACGCTGTCTCTACCATTATGGACTCTAACCCTCTGAAACTGTAAGACAAAATAAAGTCTTCTGTTAGTCACTTTTGGTTCTGGTGTCTTATTACAGCAACAGAAAAGAAACGGCCTCACTGGCTTTCCAGGGTCCCATGTGTCACCAGGTATATGCTATAGATAGGGGTTCTTGGTTTCAGGGTCTCTGCCTCCAGGTGTGTGTCCTGCAGTTCCTTGGTAGATGGGACCCCCAGTTTGGAAAGTCAGCCCCTGAGATTGGTGTACTCATTGAGAATCAGCTGGCTTTCAACAATAAGGCTAGGAGGAAATCCACATGGGAAATCCACATGAGGAAATCCACATGGAGAAAACAGAATTTGCCCCTCATCTTATGCCATATATAAAACCAACTCAAATGGATTAAAGACTCAAAATTACACTTGAAACTGTAAAACCACTAGAAGTAGACAAAGGGAATGTGGTGGTTTGAATGAGAATGGCTCCCATAAGCTCATCTATGTGAATGCTTACTCGCCAGAGATTGGAACTGTTTGAGAAGGATTAGAAGGATCAGGAGGTGTGGTCTTGTTGGAAAAAGTCTGTCACTGGGGGTGGGTTTTGAGGTTTTAAAAGGCCACACTGGGCTCAGTCTCTCTCTCTCTCTCTCTCTCTCTCTCTCTCTCTCTCTCTCTCTCTCTCTCTCTGCCTGCTGCTCGTAGGTCAGGATGTAAAGATATTAGCTACTCCTGCAGCTCCATGTCTGTCTACTTCTCTTCATGATAATTATGGATTAACTTTCTAAAACTGTAAGCAAACTCCCAATGAAATGTTTTCTTTTATGAGAGTTGCCTTGGTCATGGTGTCTCTTCTCAGCAATAGAATAGTAAGTAAGACAGTGAAGAACTTCATGTCATCAGTCTGGCCAATACTCTTCTTTAGATGTGACCCCTAAGGGCACAAGCAACAGAAGCCAAAGTAGACAAATAGCATAACAGAAGGCCATCAGCAAAGACGACCTCATGGTAGGGGAGTAGAGGGGAGGTGACATTTACAAACCATGCACAAGAGGTTATTACAAAAAGTGAGAGAAGGAATTCATAGCCAGGTGGCAGCACACACCTTTAATCCTGGCAATCCAGAGGCAGAGGCAGGAGGATCTCTGAGTTCAAGGCCAGCTTGGTCTACAGAGTGAGTTCCAGGACAGCCAGGGCTATACAGAGAAACTCTGTCTCAAAAAACACCTAGAAAAAAAAGGATTCATATAACTCAGTGCAAGGAAAGGCTCAATTAAAAGTGGGCAAAGCATATGAATATATATTTCTATGAAGAATACATAAAAATAGCTAACATCAATAAGAGATTGTAACAATTGTAAATGTATATTTCAATGTCAATATGAGATCTGTAAGAAATATTAAATATGAAACTTTCTGTCAAACATGGTAAAACTTTTATTTATGACAAGGAATTTAAGTTTTCTCCCCTAACTTGTAGGAATTTTATGCAAATATTTTTATTTTTTTCACCTTGTAAAACTTCTGCATCCTTGCATGGTTTGGGTTTTGGAACCAATAGTGAAGAGGGAGGGAAGAAATGATGGACACTGGGATTGGGTGGACTGGGCTTTCTGATGGAGAAGCATTCTCTGTAGCCCAGAGGCACAGAGTCTTTATTATCTCCAGTTGAACAGGGAGACAGGGTCATTGCATTCAGTGGAACAAAGAAATTTGGACATTATATACAGTTTAACAAGAAGTTAAGTGGCAGGATATAAGATCAACTCAAAAAAGTCAGTAGCCCTCCTATATGCAAATGATAAAAGGGCTGAGAAAGAAATCAGAGAAACAACACCCTTTACAATAGCCATAAATAATATAAAATACCTTGGGGTAACACTAACTAAACAAGTGAAGGACCTGTATGATAAGAACTTTACGTCTCTGAAGAAAGAAATTGAAGAAGATAGCAGAAAATGGAAAGATCTCCCATGCTCATGGATAGGTGGGATTAACATAGTAAAAATGGTAATCTTACCAAAATCAATCTACAGATTCAATGCAATCCCCATCAAAATCCCAACACAATTCTTCACAGACTTTGAAAGAACAATACTCAACTTCATATGGAAAAACAAAAAACCCAGGATAGCTAAAATAATAAAGCAACCTCTAGAGGTATCACCATCCCTGACTTTACGCTCTACTATTGAGCTATAGTAATAAAAACAGCTTGGTACTGGCATAAAAACTGAAATACGGACCAATGGAATCCAATTGAAGACCCTGACATTAATACACACACATATAAACACCTGATTTTTGACAAAGAAGCCAAAACTATACAATGGAAAAAAGAAAGTACCTCCAACAAATGGTGCTGGCATAATTGGATGTCAACATGTGAAAGATTGAAAATAGATCCATATCTATTGCCATGCACAAAACTCAAGTCCAAGTGGATCAAAGACCTCAACATAAATCCAGTTACACTGAACTTGATAGAAGAGAAAATAGGAAGTACTCTTGAACACATTGGCACAGGAGATCACTTCCTGAATATAATGCCAGTAGCACAGACACTGAGATCAACAATTAATAAATGGAACCTCTTGAAACTGAGAAGCTTTTGGAGGGCAAAAGACATGGTCAATAAGACAAAAAGACAGCCTACAGAATGGGAAAACATCTTCTTCACCAACCTCACATCTGACAGAGGACTGATCTCCAAAGTATATAAAGAACTCAAGAAACTAGACATCAAAATACTGAACAATCCAACTAAAAAATGGGCTATTGAGCTAAACAGAGAATTCTCAAAAGAAGAATCTCAAATGGCTGAAAGACAATTAAGGAAATACTCAACATCCTTAGTCATCAGAGAAATGCAAATCAAAACGACTATGAGATACCACCTTACACCTGTCAGAATGCCTAAGATAAAAACACTAATGACAGTCTATGTTGGAGAGGATGCAGAGCAAGGGGAACACTTCTCCACTGTTGGTGGGAGTGCAAACTTGTACAACCACTGTGGAAATCAGTATGGTGGTTTCTCAGAAATTTGGGAATTGATCTACCTCAAGACCCAGCCAGCCATACCACTCTTGGGCATATACCCATGGAATGCTCAATCATACCACAAAGATACAAGCCTCAACTATGTTCATAGCAGCATTATTTGTAATACCCAGAACCTGGAAACAACCTAGATGCCCATCAACTGAAAAATGGATTAAGAAAATGTGGTACATATACACAATGGAGTACTACTCAGCAGAGAAAAACAATGACAGCATGAAATTTGCAGGCAAATGGATGGAACTAGAAAATATCATCCTGGGTGAGGTAATCCAGACTCAGAAGGACAAACATGGTATGTACTCACTCATAAGTGGATACTGGATATAAAGCAAAGGACAATCAGACTGCAACCCACAGATCCAGGGAGGCTACCTAGCAAGGGCGACCCTAGGATGACTGTGGCTTATAATAAGTTTTGGTTTTACCGAATCACTGGGCAAACTTTAGTGAAACATATCACTCTTAGGATAAGAATTTGTTCTGTATCAAGCTGATGAAAGAAAATGCTGGTCATACTTTCAGGAGGGGAGGCTAAACTCTTTTTAGAATATGGATTAGCCTATAAAAATATGTCTGCCATAAATCAAACACTGAAGGAGAAGATGAATAGGAATCTCACTAACACAACTTAAGTAAAACATAGCTCTCTGAACGGATGAAGATAGGTTTCTTCTGTATCCCAGAATCTAATCAATACTTATATGTATAATTTAGCTATCATTTGGCTTAAAAGGGCTTATAGGGAAATGTTATCATTTATACTATTTTCTACAGAGAAACTATTTTACTGTTTAAAATAACCCTGGACTTTTAAATTATAATCTGTTTTTATGTTCAGGCTATCTGTATATTATTTCTCCTGCAGTTGTACATAAAATGTTTTTACATTAAAAAAAGGGGACAAATACTATAGAATTGTATTACATGAAATATATAGAATATACAAATTTCATAGAGACAGAAAGATTAGACGTTATCTCAAGATAGAGAAGAAAGGAATATAGAGCAATGGTTTACTAAGTACAGAATCTCTGTTTTGTGTGATGGAAAAACCCCACAAATGGACAGTAGTATCAGGACATAATATCATGAATGTAATAAGTCAATACAATTAATGCAATTAATGAATATCATAAATGTAATTATTGAATGAATACTGCAAATGTAATCAATGAATACCACAAATGTAATTAATATCATGAGTGTAATTAATGAATATCATGAGTGTAATTAAAAAAATTAATTAATTAAAAAAAAAAGTTGGGCTTAACTAATCCCATAGGAATAGTCTCTCGAGGGGAGCAGTCTTCAGGACATAAACATCCAGGGGTAGGGTGGACATTTACTATGGTGGACATTTTCTGCACACACTGTCAACATTTGTACTTGGACTGAGAAAGACTTTGCCATCCTTTTGAACCTCACCTGTGGAAGATGTTGCCACTCCCATGGGACTGAGACACTGGGGCCCATGACATGGCTGTGTCCATGTCCAACAATGCACATTTGCTCAGGACCTCACTCACTCCCTACATGAAACCTTTATGCAACTATTTTAGTTCCTTCTCACCCAGCAAAACTTTTGTTTAGCCGGAGGCCCTACTCCACTCTTTCAGAACTTGAGTGAATGGTCCCCACCCACTTTGCTTCATTCCTTTGTGCTGCAGATTCCTTCAAAACTGGCCCTGAAAGACTTCAGAGGTCAGACCCCAGTCACCCCTGCATCAGAATATAAACAAGGTCACTTCCTGTCCCAGTGTGCTTGCTCTTCTGCTTTTTGAGAAGTAATCAGAAGTCAAGTTGTGTCTTATTGAGACATTTTAACTGGGATGATGGTCTGTCTTTGTGACCCCAAACTGATTCCTAACAAAGCCAAAAGAAGAACTCGGTGCAGTAGAAGAAAACCATATCACCCACGCTGAGCAATGAACAAATCATCCAAAAAGGAAACGAGCAAAGAAAGCAGACTGAAAGTGCTCTCCAAGCCTCCCGCACCTAACAGACACAGA